TCCTGGATCTCGCTCTGTAGACCAGGCTGGCCTCAAACTCACAGAGATCTGCCTGCCTCTGCCTCCCGAGTGCTGGGATTAAAGGCGTGTGCCACCACTGCCCAGCTGACCAGCTCTTTTATGTAAGCCTAGTGTACACCATTAATTATGATGGCTTTTTTTTTTTTCCGGCCTGGTTCCACAAGCTAATGAAACCTGATAGGGTAATGTGGGCTACAGGAGGAAAGGAAGTGGAGGGATTTATGAATGTATGTTGTGAGCCAGATAAGTGGTTACATAGTAATAACTCATTGTATGGATTTCTTCATTTAGTCCTCTATCAGTGAATATTAAGTTACTCCTTACAACACCCTTACAAAATTTGGCTAATACAAGCATTGCGATTATGAGCATTCTTATGCATATACCTTTGAGCACACTGGTCATGGACATGTACATATGTAGGCTGAATTCCCAGAATAGGTAGGCTAAGTAATGTGTTTTGTTTTTGTTTCCCATGCTTTCTTAAATATATTTATTAATTAATTTACTAATTTATTTGACACTATGTTTCATTATGTAGCGCTGGTTGGCCTGGAATTTACTACATAGACCAGGCTGGCCTTGAACTCAGAATTCTGCCTGTCTCTGCCCTCTATAATGCTAGGATTAGAGATGTGTGCCACCATGTCTGGCTCACATGCTCTTAAGTAAACCTCATACCCTCTAATACAATGCTGTGTATTAGACTTTTAGAATTTTTGTCAGATTGTTAAAAGTTGTCTGCTTTTATTGAGACTTCCTTATTACTAATACAGTTAAGCATATTACATTTATGAACCACTGATTTTATTTGGTAGTTATCTCTTTGTATGTAAAAATATATATAATATCTATAGGTAATATTTAATAATTATAATTTTAATAATAAATAAATACTATTTAAAAAAATAAGTAAATAATACTTACTAAAAATAATATTTATTTGGTAGTTATATCCTTGTGTGTAAACTGTTTTAGCCTGGCATGGAGGCTGAAATCTTGGGTCTTGGGAGGCAGAGGAAGGAAGTTTGAGGCCAGATGGTCAACATGATAAATTCCAGGCCAGCCGTGTTGCCAGAAAATTCAGATCAGTCTGTCAGATGCTAGGTCTGTGAGATCCTAGAGTGGTGCTGGGTGGGACCTCAGAGGCTAGGGCAGACACAAGCTGAACATTTTCCCTTTCTTTCAAATAAACAAATTCTCTGAGGCTTCTCAGGGAGTCTGGTCAGAAAGTCTTGTTGTAGTCCTTACGATGGTGTCAATGCTGTTTCTGTCTTGCAAAACTAATTTCAATAATGACTTGTGTTTAGGTTGACGGCATGAAAGGTTTTCCTTTCTCAAGACCTAATCACGGTAGAAAGAAAAATGGTACCTGTGGTAGTTTGCATGTAATTGGCCCCCATAGTCTCATAGGGAGTGGCACTGTTAGGACACGAGGCTTTGTTGGAGTGGGTGTGGCCTTGTTGGAGGAAGTGTGTCACTGTGTGGGTGGGCTTTGAGGTTTCCTGTCCTGAGAATACCGCCTAGTGAGTCAGTCAGCTTCCTGCTGCCTTCTGGTCAAGATATAGCCAGCACCACGTCTGCCTGCATGCCGCCATGCTCCCTGTCATGTTAAAGGATTGAGAACCTCTGAAACTGTGGGCGAGCCACCCCAGTGAGATGTTTTATAAGAATTGCCGTGGTCATGGTGCCTCTTCACAGCAGGGAAAACCCTGACTCAGACAGTATCTTAGTTAGCTTTCTGGTACTGTAACAAAACACCTGAGACAAGTAGGTATAGAAGAAAGGTCATTTCGGCTCATGGTTTCAGACATGGGGGGTAGTACAGGGTAGAGAAACCTGCTTACCTCTGTCACTTTGGAATGTGAGGAGACGGGGTGGGGGTGGAGTGGGTGGGGTGGGAATGCAGCAGCTCACAGTCTCCCTGGAGGTCATGCCTTCTGTGATCTAAAACCACCCTCTCCCTTAACTGTTGACCATCCCCTCCCAGTTAGGCAAAGCTGAGGACCAGACATTCCAGATCCAAGCCATAGCGGTGTCTTTGTGTGCGAAGGCAGGCCAAGGAACACAGTGAGAAAATAAGGCCTCCCAGTTTCCATGTTACAGTCGGCATCTTCTCTACTCATTAAACTATTCCGTGTCATGGGAAGAAAGACCCAGTAATGATTAGAGAAGTGATGTGAGTAGAAATGGTATTCTCTTCCAGGTAAGGATTATGGGAGCAACTTAGCTAAGAACGGAAAACCGCCCCTTGTCTAAAGGGCCATTGTCCCTGTAGAGGCATTGCTTTCGGGGGACTGTGATCTGGCCACTGGCCTCTCTCACTTTAACGTTAGGATCCTCCTTGTCCTACAGCCTGCAGGCACTGCTCTGATGATGTTGTGTTTTGTTTTTTTGTCTGGCTGACAGGTGTAGTGGTGTCGAACACTTTATTTTGGAAGTGATTCAGCGCCTCCCAGACATGGAAATGGTAATCAATGTACGGGACTATCCTCAGGTTCCTAAGTGGATGGAGCCAACCATCCCTGTCTTCTCCTTCAGTAAGGTGAGCACCGGAAGGGCCACATGGGGGCAGAGGGTGAGCCTGCGGTATAAGCAAGAGATCTCCTCTAGCAATTTGATGGGTATTGGTGAGGATGAGGCTGGAGATCCAGGAATGAACTTGTTCTGTGTTAATTCGCAATCACTGAACCGTAAGACTGAAGAACTGGAAGTGAAGACCCATATGTAATGTAAGATTGCCTAAATCTAATGTCTAGGGCTAGGGAGGAGGGCGCCTTAGGAGCCTACCGCATTCACAGGGGAGTCCAGGGAAACTCATAGGCTTAATTAGGGAATGCTTTCATTTGAGAAATATTTCTCTTCTCTCTTTCTCTCTTTCTTCCTTCCTTCCTTCCTTCCTTCCTTCCTTCCTTCCTTCCTTCCTTCCTTCCTCTTCTTCTTCTTCTTCTTCTTTTTGGTTTTTTGAGACAGGGTTTCTCTGTGTAGCTTTGCGCCTTTCCTGGAACTCACTCAGTAGTCCAGCCTGGCCTCGATCTCACAGAGATCCGCCTGGCTCTGCCTCCCGAGTGCTGGGATTAAAGGCGTGCGCCACCAATGCCCGGCGAGAATTATTTCGTGCGTTTCTATAATATATGTAGTAGCTATAGAGCTGAGTGCTATCTGCTTTGTCTGTGTCTGTATCCCAGGCATCCCGCATAGCTGAAATCCAACACTGAAGGTACTGAGTAACTCTGCATGGCTTTTGCTCAAACAGTGCATTGTACAGATAGGCAGGCCTAGGGTAACCCAGAAGTTAAGGAAGAGGGAGTCTGGGTTCTGTTAGGGAGGATGGAAGTAATTGGGTAACACCTATGGATGTGGAGAATTTGGGACAATAAGCAGCTTGTTTGTACTCAGGTTCATGCAGCTGGTGTATTGGCAAGGAGTACCTTCTGTAGAAACCAGCTCTGGGGCATTCTGAGTGCCAGTGGGGAGGCTGAAAGATGATAGGCTTAGGATGACCCATAAATCTTTGGGAAAAGGAGCAGGTGTGTTCTGTTTTGGTTTCTTCAAAGCAATATTCTTTTTTTTTTTTTCTTTAATTTTTTTCTTTTTCCTTTTTTTGGTTTTTTGAGACAGGGTTCTCTGTGTCACAGCCCTAATTGTCCTGAATCTCACTCTGTAGACCAGGCTGGCCTTGAACTCACAGAGATCCACCTGCCTCTGCCTCCCGAGTGCTGGGATTAAAGGCGTGCGCCACCGTTCCCCAACCAAAGCAGTATTCTTAATTTTTTCTTACTTTTTTTTTTTTCCTTTTTTGTTTTCTCGTGGGGACAGTTGCCCCTGGTTGTATGTGAGTGTACACAGAGGCCAGAGGTCAAACGTGGGTAAATTCCTCAGGAGCCATCCACCGTGTTTTTGAGTCAGGACCGCTCATTGGCCTTGAACTTACTGATTGGGCTACCTGGCAGGGCAGCAAGCCCCAAGGGTCTACTGTGTGCCACGGTGCCCAGCTTTTTGTGGCTTCGGGGACTGGAACTCAGGTCTTCATGCTTGCAAGTCAAATGCTTTACCTTCTGAGCCATCTCCCAGCCAGCTGTCCCCGCTCTTTCTTCATCAAGATGGACTTTCTCTCTCGACTTACTGCCTGTGTTGTAAGTGGTTTGTGCTGCTTTCTCGAAAGTGCCTGGTCCCAATGTGACTGTGACTTTACTATCTTTGGTTCTTGGTGTTTTTTTTTTTGTTTGTTTTTTTTTTTGTTTTTTTTTTTGTCCTTACTTCCCTCCTATTTTTCCCAGTCGCTCACAGCAGGGTCCAGAGGGGCCGCTGTAGTCTGTCAGCTTCGGTTAACTGGGAAGTTCCTATTGAACAGCTGCTTTCTTTGTTGGAGATGCTTGAAGAGTCACAGGGTGTTTTCTGAGTGTTGGAGAGGGGTCAGCACCTTACACATGTAGTCGCGATGAAGAAACAGTGGAGTAAGGCTTTATAAGTGGCCACAGGGTAGAGGTAGCCATGAGGCAGGAACAGAGGGTTTCAAACGTTGACCCAGAAATACGTGAGCTGGACTTGGATGGCTTATGCCTGTAAGCGCTGGCTTATCCCAGCACCGAGGAGGCAGAAATGGAAAGATCATACATTGGAGGGCAGCCTGGTCTAGGTAGTAAGTTCCAGGCCAGCCAGAGTTACGCAGCAAAGTCCTAGCTAACACCAGCAGCAGCAGCAGCAGCAGCAGCAGCAGCAGCAGCAGCAGCAGCAGCAGCAGACAACCCCTCCCACCAAGAGGTGCATGGTTAGATGACACCTGCCTTCTCCTGTTCTGCCTCTGGTCCTTCTGGTCAATAAACAGCCAGTGTGAGCTCAAGAGCGACATCCACAGTGTTAGGGGACACTAGATCATGCTTACTAAGTAGTCATCAGACACTGTCCTTTTCAACGATGATGAGTCACTTTGTGTGGAACCTAAACCTGTAGGTAGACTTAGGGATATCATTTTCCCCATTACCAGGAGATTGAGGCATGCATACATTGGAGCACTCCGTGGTGAAGAGGAAGAGCCAGCTTTCAGACTACTGTGATCAGTGCTATTTCCTGATTCTTAACTCTCAAAATACCCCCTGGGAAATAACTCAAAACTGGTAAAGCAGGGGAAACACCAGGATGTAACAGCAGTTAAGTTTTGACAGAACTGATTATTCATAATTCGGAATATTATCCCTACTCCCTCAAAAAAAAAAACCCTCCAGAATTTTGAGGAACTGAAAATCTTGACCTTTAATATGATTAAAAATTCTGGGATTCGGATGGTCTGTTACTTTTTTTTTTTTTCCAAGACGGTTTTACTGAGTAGCACTGGCTATCCTAGAACTACTATGTAGAACAGTCTGGCCTCGAACCCATAGAGATCCACCTGCCTCTGCCTCCTGAGTGCTGGAATTAAAGGCATGCGCCACCACCTCCCAGCTGAATCTATTACTTTTTAGGTCTGATAATTCTTGCTTTTATAATGTCTGCAGTCTAGGCATAAAAGGTGATGTTTTGTGGTGCTGGATATTGTACTCAGGGCCTCATTTGTGCTAGGTAAGTGCTCTTTTATGGAGCTGTATTCCCACATCTAATGTCTAGGACCTAGACCTTGCAGACAAATACAGTATTTCCCTAGCACCATGAAGGCTTTTGTCACAACTGTATATAATGAATGCAGCTGGCTGCTTCTCATTCTCCTCTAAAACTTACTCCGAATGCCTTTCTGTTTTTGTCAAAGACATCGGAGTACCATGATATCATGTATCCTGCATGGACATTTTGGGAAGGGGGACCTGCTGTGTGGCCACTTTATCCTACAGGTCTTGGACGGTGGGACCTCTTCAGAGAAGATCTGGTAAGGTAGGTCCTTTGGGAAGGTTTTGTTTTTCCCTCTCTGTGAGTTCTCTTGAAGTAGGAAGTAGAATATAGTCAATAATTTAAGATTTCTGCCTGGGCTGGGGAGATGGCTCAGTAGGTAAGAGTTTTAGCTGTGCAACCTAAGGATATGAGCTTGGATATGGAGATCCACATAAAATCCAGGCATGGTTGTATGTACCTGTAACTCCCAGTGTTCTTGGGGCCAGAGACAGGTGGATCCTGGGAGCTCACTGGCCAGCTAGCCTAGCAAAAATGGTGAGAGAGCTGTCAGTGAAAGACCTGTCTCAAGAGAATAAAGACTGACAGCTAATGTCTTCTTCTGGCCCTGATATACACTCACACAGGTATCTGCACATAAATGTGTACACACACACACATACACACACACAACATTAAAGTCAGGGGACTGTTATATAATACGAACAGCTTTGTGTTGGGCACAAGAATAGAGCTTAGTTGATACTTGCCTAGCAGGTTGTGAAGCCCAGGGTTTGACCCCCAGCACTACATAAATTGGTCATGGTGGCTTATTCCTGTAATCCCAGCAGTGGGGAGGTGGACGTAGGAGGATCACAAGTTCAAGGCCAACCTCATCTATGTAGGGAGTTTGAGGATAGCCTGGAAATCATAAGACCCTGTCTCAAAATTTGAAAATCCCTGTCCAAAAGAGCAGAAGGTTCCTTCCTAAACTGTCATCAGTGCCTCCAAGGGAAGGGTTATAAGAGTCTCTAAGCTTTGTAAAGATCATTTTGTATTTTATTTGTTTGAGTGTTCCCCTACATGTCTGTATGTGTACCACATGCATGCCTAGGGCCCTTTAGTTAGAAGAGGGCATCACGTCCTCTGGTACTAAGAGTTACAGACAGTGATCTGCCACGTGAGTACTGGGAACTGAACCCAGGTCCTCTGCAAGAGCACCACATACTCTTAACCACTGAGCCATCTCTCCAGCACCATTTTCTTTACATGTTTCATATTTTAAATATTCTCTAACACAGGGTCTCACCTGGTACCCCAGCCTGGCCTGGAACTTGTTATGTACTGCCCAGCCTCAAACTCAATCAACCCTGTTTCACTCTCTAAAGTGCTGGGATTACAGGCCGAGCCACCATGCTCCACTGTGCGTCATTATCATAATAGGAGAAAGTAAATTTAGTGGCCTTATTGTAAGGAAGGGTAGATAATTTGTTGAAACAGTCTCACTTTGTAATCCAGGCTGTCCTTGAACACGCGACTCAGGCCGGGGTCAAACCCCTGATCCTCTTGAATACTGAGGTTTTACCCTCCCAAATACCAGCATTGTAGGTAGGCTTTTAAAAATTACTTGGAATGTGCTTGATAATTGGTACTAATAATGGGTTGTGGTGGACCCTTAAGTATATCAAGGACAAGTGTATTTCAGAATCCTTCCTGATCATGACTGAGACATGCCTTGGCCTACTGATGCCATCCTACCAGACTTCTCAAGGTCTGGTCACCTACACTTCCTAAACCAGCTATATGGTACATTCATGATTTTATACAGTATTGGTGTTACTCTAATGGTGCCTGCCCATATAGTCTTGCTATGTAGAACACACTCATTTTGAGTTTGCCATTTTCCTGCTTCAGTCTCCTGAATGCTGGGGTTACAGGCATGTATGACCATACCTTGCTTATTGGTGCTTACTTAAGGATCTTCTGGAAACACAGTCATTATAGGCCTTCTCTAGGAGGGAAGGAAGGCAATAATCTAATTCATCTTTGTTCCCAGAACCTGTTACCTTTACAAGTATGGCTAGAGATTCAAAGGGGACTGATTAAAACACAGAAGTGCTATATAGACGTGGCCTGCCTCCTGTTACATCAAGCAAGCTTGCTCAGGCTTGGTAATACTGATATTTGGGCTGAGTAATTCTTTGTGGTAAGGAGCTGTCCTGTTCTTCTGGGATATTTAACATCCCTTGCCTCTGCCCACTAAATGTCAGTAGCAGTTCCTCAGAAATGTTTCCAGATATAGCCATATGCCCCATGGGTAGGTAAGAGAACAGAGCCAGTGCCAGTAAGGGCTACAGATGTGACTCAGTGATAGAACACTTGCCTAGCACATACAAGGTACTGGCCTAAGTATCCAGCACTTATGAAAAGGGAAGGAAGACCCAGCTATGTGGAGAAATGAATAGAAAGCAGTTCCTTTTATTTTATTTATTTTTGAGACATTTAGCCTGGGTTGACCTCAGATTCCCCAGGCAGTGGAGGATGACCCTGAAGTATTTATCTTTCTACTTTTATTTCCCAAGTGCTGAGCTTACAGATGTGTGCCACCACTGTGGGAAAGAAATCCTTTTTAAAATTATTTCTTACATTTAAATGATGCGTGTCTGGGGTGGGGGGTTATGCCCACAAATGCAGTGCCCTCGGAGGCCGGAAGAGGGTGTTGGATCTCTGGAGCTGGAGTTACAGACAGTTGTGAGCTGTGGGCCGTGGGTACTGGGAACCGAACTCAGTACCCTGAAAGAGCAGTGCATACTCTTACCTGCTGGGCCCTCTCTCCAGCCCCAAGCCTGCCTTCCCTGGAGTCTTACACAGTCCGTGGCTGTGGGCAGGGAGATTCCAGGTGCTTTTGGAATGCTTTCTGTTTTCCCACAGACTCTGAAACAGTGAATGTGTCATTCCCCACAAAAGGACAAAACCCTCCCATCAGTGAATAATGTTTACTCTTCAGGGGAGTAAAAAATCGTTCTGGCAAGTTCAAGACCAGCTTGGGCTACTGGGCTACACAGCAAGTCCCAGCCTAGGGTACACAGTGTGATCCTGTCTCCAAATAAAGGGAAAAGATAGGACTGGAGGTGTTTTTCAGTTGGCCTGCTTCTCCAGCTTGCACAGAGACCTGGGTGTATTTCTCAGCACTGCTGAGAACCAGGCAGTGGTGGCGCTCATCTGTGTGCCAGCACTTGGGAGGCAGAGCAAGAAGGATCAAGAGTGTGAGACCAGCCTGGGCTACATGTAGCCCTGTAGAAGGTTTCCTGTGTCCCACAGCCGCTCCATCCCAAATAAACACACAGAGGCTTATATTAATTACAAATTGGTCTATGGCTCCGACTTCTTGCTAGCTGGCTCTTTCATCTTAAATTAACCCAGTTCTGTTAATGTATATTTTGCCACGTGGCCATGGTGTTACCGGTCTGCTGGCATCTTGTTCCTTGGGCAGCTGGATGTCGTCTGCCCTGATTCCGCCCTTTTTCTCCCTGTCCCTCTGCTTGGGTTTCCTACCTGGCTCTTATCCTGCCTTACCATAGGCCAAAGCAGCTGTGTTTATTAACCAATGAGAGCAACATATAGTCACAGCATACAATAAGACCATCCCACAGCATGGCCCTTTGGTAAAAGGAAAGGAAAATAAAGGGTTAAAGGGTGGGCCATTTTAGCTGAGGGTAGAGGTCTGAGGGCCTTGGAAATACCAAGCATTGCTCTCAGGTGAGTGAAAAGAAGAAGTTCGTCACTCTATATCTGAAATCTACCTAGACCTCAAGAAGTTCGCATCCTGTGTTCTTCTGTTTCTATAATACAACCCCACTGTCCCTCATCTAGTCCAGCTCAGCCTTCCCCTTCACAGAGGAAGACACTGCATAGACTTCCGTGTCGGGGGCGGGGTGGGGTAGGGTGTTCCTGCAAGGGCAGTTGAAAGTGACGTGAACTCTAAGTTTCAGCAAGGAAGGCTGGTCATGATAATAATATCCACTAACTCCTGAGGTTCAGGGACTTTTATCTCTTTTAGAGCATCACGAAGCATTAAGAATCCCAGAGTCCTTTCAGATAGCAGAGTACATACATCTGGTGGTCCTTGATTTATTTCCAGAACATGAAGCTGGGAAGTGAATTCCCTTTTGCTCCGTTCTTTTGCATTTCTTGTCACGAGCTAATTTTACTAATAGCCTTCCTCTGCTCAGAGAGTAGGACTGTGCCAACTGAACGGTCCTATGCATGCCATTTGGACCCTGGGCACTCTTGTTTCGGGAAGTTAATGTTAGTGGGTTAGTGGATTTGTAGCTATTCCTGGCAAGCCCTTCAGAACACCAAAACACTAATAGAAGAGTTTGTGGTTTCACACATGGCTTGTTTTAGTAGCCTTGAACAGGTTTATTTAAAGGTACAAAGTTCTGAACTGATCTTGAGAAACGATTAAAACATGTATCTAGAGGAAAAACTAATCAAAAATCTATATTTTCAGGTCAGCAGCACAGTGGCCATGGGAAAAGAAAAATTCTACAGCATATTTTCGAGGATCAAGGTGATTATATTTTCTGACCTGTAATAATATTTTCCAAGCAGTGGGTAAAATTATGCAACCTTGAGGGTATAATGTATCCTGTTGTTCAAAGGAAAAGCTGAGCTAGCCAAGAAATGAATGTGGAATGATGGCCATGGCACACATCTGTAATCTGGCACTCAAGGGTCAGAGGCAGGACCACTACAAGATCCAGGCCTGCCTCATCTTCAGTATTGGGTTCCGGACCAGCCTGGTCCACAGGTTAAGTTCCAGGTCAGCCTTATTCTCATAGTGGTTTCCAGGCTGTCCTGATCTAAATAGTAAGTTGCAGACCAGCCAAGGTTATACTGTGAGACCCTGTCTCAAAACAGCCACCATCACCAATAACGGCAAAAGTGTGGGCTGGCAGGATCTTAAACTAGAGAAGAATTCAGCTGTGCTGGTTAGTGTTTGTCAACTTGACCCAACCTAGAGTCACCAGGGAGAAGGAAATACCTCCTTCAGGTTGTGTAGGCATGCCTGTGGGGGCATTTTCTTGACTGGTGATTGATATGGGAGGGCCTAGCCCGTGGTGGGCAGTGCCTGCCCTGGGTATATGGTCCTAGAAAGTATAAGAAAAGTAGCTGAACTTGACCCTGGCTGCAAACAAGTCAGTAAGTGGTTTCCTCCGTGGTTCCCGCTTGTGTGAGAGTTGTTCCCTGATTCCCTCAAAGATCAACTGATCAGGATATGTAAGCTGATCAGACCCTTCCTCCCCAAGTTGCTTTTAGTCATGATGTTATCACCACATGGAAAGCAAAATAGGACATCAAATATTTGCTGAATTACTCACAACTCAACTGGAATTCAAAGAAGTCAAGTCCCCAGACAGTTACTCAGTATTTGTAGAGTACCAGCTGCCGGGCAGAGTGGATGATCCTCTTGTCTACAGTTTCCTAGAAGTGGCTTGTCCTTGTGCCTCAGTCTCTCCTGCTTACCTCAGCAGGGATCATCTCCAGGTCTCCTGACTGCCTTGTCCTCAGACCATGTGGCTGCTAAATAGTGTTCAGTGGCACAGACTGAGGCTGGGGAATGGAGAGGGAAGAGGAGGGAGTAGGACGATGGAAATCCCTGTCTGTGTTCTGCCGAGGACACAGTATCTGTGGAATGGGTAAATGGACCAAAAAAGGAGGAGAGTTTGCAGTTTTTATGGTACCACCCACCCTCTACTCAACTCCTGGCGTGGACAGTGGACTTCAGAATACAACTAGGTAAAATACCCATTGTTATGCCCAGATTACAGGGACCCCCAAAAGACCACCACGGAGACCGAATCCCATATGTAAAAGCAAAGAGCCTTTATTTTCAAGCTCCAAGCTTGGTCTCTCTTATCGGTCCGATGCTGTAGCAAGAGCAGAGAGCCCTGAGCTTAGGAGGGGTAGAGTTTTTTGTTTTTTTTTTATCATAACAAAGGTTGGGATGAGGAGATTTCCAGGGTTAGGGCCCTGATTGGCTGACATTTGTCTAGGGTTATCTGTAAAACAGCGACATTGACATCTGGCCATCTTATCTAACCTTATCTAATGGTTGGAATGTTTGGGACATCAGGTACTTCCCCTTAGATGTAGACCCTTCCTGGGTGGGGTCAGTTTATGGCTTTTCCTGGGTCTGGATGTTGTCTGCCAGTAAGCCTGTCCCAGAAGCTGTGTCTGGGCCTCTAAGCCTGTCATGGCAGCTATGTGTTCAAGCTGTTTTGGGCCCCCCACACCCATAACTTGCTGTCTTACTAATTATCTGATTCTCACCTTTTTTTTTTCTTCCTCTGAGACAGAGTCTTGCTAAATAGCCTAGACTTGAGACCTGTGTGCTTTCCAAGTAGCTAGGATTATGAGCATGTAATCACTGTGGTCTTACCGTGTGTGTGTGTGTGTGTGTGTGTGTGTGTGTGTGTGTGTGTGTGTGTGTGTGTGTGTGTATTTTGAGATGAGGGTCTCACTTTGTAGCCCTGATTGGCCTGGAGCTCTTTATATAGTTCAGACTGCCCTTGAACTCACAAAGATCCTCCTTTGCCTCCTGAATGCTGGGATTAAAGGCATATGCTACTGTGCCCAGCTTTGTTTGTTTTCAAATTTAAATATTATACTGGACTTTACAGTGCATACATGTAGTAGTCAGGGTTCTCTAGAGTCACAGATATTATGAAATGACTCTCTCTCTCTCTCCTCATATATATATGGAGAGAGATAGAATACCTATGGGAATTTATTGCAATGATTGCAGTCCAACAATGGCTAGTTATGAGTGAAAAGTCCAAGAACCTAGCAGCTGCTTAGTCTCACGAGGCTGGGTATCTCAGCTGGTCTCCCGGGATCCCAAAGAAGAAACGGATGTGCTGATGAGGCCAGAGCAAGCAGGCAGAGAACAAACCCTTCCTTCTTCCATTGCCCTTATATAGGCAGCAGAAGTTGTGGCTCAAATTAAAGGTGTGTCTTCCTGCCTCAAGATCCGGATCAAAGCCTTGTTCTCTTCTTGCCTCAAGATCCGGATCACAAGTGTGCCCTCCATTTCTGGATGATAGTTCATTCCAGTTATAGGCAAGTTGACAGCCAAGAATAGCCATCATAATATACAATAAAGACCATGTAGCTATTTTGGTGAGTGGTGATTATGTAGCCACACAGCTGTGAAAACAGTGATGATAGGTATTGGATGAACTTTCCGAAAAGGAAAATCATTCCCTGAAACATAGCTGTAGTGACCAGGACATCATTGCCTTACGGTTACTATTACTGTGCTAAAACACCATGACCAAAAGCAGCCCGGAGGAAAGGGTTTATTTCATTCACAGTTCCCCATAACAGTTCATCATCAAAAGCCGTGAAGGCAGGAACTCACACAGGATAGGAACCTGGAAGCAGGAACTGATGCTGAGGCCACAGAGGGTGGCTGCTTACTGGCTTGCTCCTTCTGACTTGCTCAGCCTGCTTTCTTAGAACACCCAGGACCACCAGCCCAGGGGTGGCACCACCCACAATAGGCTGGGCCCTCCCCCATCAATCACTAAGAAAATGCCCAACAGCCAGATCTTATAGAGGCATTTTCTCAGTTGAGGCCCCCTCCTCTCTGATGACTCTAGCCTACGACAAGTTGACATAAAATTAGCCTGTAAAATCATACTCTTACAGACCAGATGTAGGCCAGATTTGGTGGCACACACTTACAATCCCAGTGCCTGAGAGATTACCAATCAGGATCAGGAATTCAAGGCCACATTTGGCTACATAGTAAGTGGGAGGGTAGCCTGGGCTACATGAGATCCTGTTTCAAAACAGTAAAATTGGATGTAAGTAAAGAAAGACTCAATACTCCCCGTCTTTGATGGATAAAGTGGAAATAGCCTAAACCACCAAAATGCTGCACTACCCAGGATACCCTTCCTTTACTGTACCAGACCCAGTGAATTATCCTATCTGTGCCAACAGCCACCACACTGGCCAGTACGGCTCACCTCTTAGGGATTGGGAACGTTATGGTGTAGGCCACATAGATTTATGTTCTGTATTTTCTCTGTAGGACAAGCCCCGAAAGAGATCCTCTGATTCTTCTGTCTCGGAAAGATCCCAAACTGGTTGATGCAGAATACACCAAAAACCAGGCCTGGAAATCTATGAAAGTAATCAGCAACCGTCTGAATAGAAGCAGAGCAGTGATGACTCTAAGAACATTGCCAGCTGGCTAGACTTTCCGATTAGGTTTCCTCTCAGTGAGGAGATGAACGTGGAGCAGTTCTGTGCACCAGTGTTAACATATATGTAAATTTCTGCTCGCTCTCCAGACTTGACTCAGTACTATGCTGAGTGTGTCAATAACTGAAGAGTTGAGGGTTATGAGCTTCTGAGAGAGGCCAGATAGTAAGTGTGGGTCCACCCAGGTCATTACTGCATGTCCTGCTGTAACAGGGTGAGAGGAGCAGGCAGCTTTCACAACATGGCTATTTCCTAGTTATTTTTGGGGGGCACCAAAATTTGAATTTCATGTGAAATTTGAATTTCATGTCATCTGTCTATCTATCTATCTATATGTCTGTCTATCTATCTATCTTTCTATCTATCTATCTATCTATATCTATTTTTGCTTTTTTTTCGAGACAGAGTTTCTCTGTGTAGTTTTGGTGCCTGTCCTGGATCTCACTCTGTAGACCAGGCTGGCCTCGAACTCACAGAGATCCTCCTGGCTCTGCCTCCCAAGTGCTGGGATTAAAGGCTTGCGTACTGCAGCCCGCAAATTTCATGTCTTCTATCTTTTCTTTTTCTTTTTTGTTTGTTTATTTGTTTTTGCTTTTAGCTCTGGCGATTCTGGAACTCACTATGTAGACCAGGCTGGCCTTGAACTCACAGAGATCCACTTGCCTCTCTCTGTTTCCTGAGTGCTGGGATGGAAGTCCTATGCCACTACACCTGCATTTCATATAATTTTTACATATCAAAAATATATTTCTTTCCCTTTTTTCCCCAGTCCCTTGAAAATGTGAAAATATCCAGTACATGAGTTCTATACTCCCACACGGTGGGTTGGAGTTGGTTTGTGGCTGTAGTTTAGCAACCCCTGGGTTAAATGAATGGTGCACAGAGTCTCTAGAGTGAAACCTGAGGGCTCAGACAGTGAGCTAAATGACTAAGTGTCTGGGGCCAGAGTTCCAGGAATCTTCATTTCCTTAAAATATGAAAACGGTGACCTTTTGCTTTGTGGTCCATCGGTGTGGTCCTGACTGTGACTTCTTGCCTTAAGTAAGAATTTAAAGTCCTAATTTCCTCATTTGCAGTTTCAACACAGCATATGAGAAGAAAGTGTTAACCTTCATGGAGAACAACCCAGTGTATACCTGAAATGGATGCATTATTTGCATAGGTTTTATCTGTGCATTTTTGTTCTTGCCATAGTGGGGATTGAATCTTGCCTCGGAATGCTAGACAAACACTCTACTAGAGCTACAACCATTAGCCTGCTTTGTTTTGAATTGAAAATTTTTTATTTCATGTGTATGAGTGTTTTGTCTGTATCTATGTATGTGTGCTGGTGCCTCCAGAGGCTGGAAGAGGGTGCTGGAGTTATGGACAGTTGTAAGCTGTCATGAGGATACTTAGAATCAAGCCCAGGTCCCCTGCAAGAGCAGCAAGTACTTTTAACCGCTGAGCCATCTCTCCAGCCCGACTCTTAGCCTGTCTTATACCGTTTTAGTCAAACAGGAAGAAATGAGTTTAAGAAACCTTAACACAAATATGCACAGGAATTCAAGGGCACCCTCAGTTAGCGACTTTGAACCTAGCCTGGGCTATGCAGCCTTATCTCCAAAACAAAACAAAATGGGAAAAGGTCAGCAGAAACCAAGAAACGAAAGAACGCATTCATTCAGCATGCAGGTTGTTAGCATCTTCTGTGGAGGCGGGCAGCGAGGCAAATAGGAAAGGGCAGCCCCCGATGGCTGCTCCAAGTGGGATAGGAGCCTGGTTTGCTAGGTGTTTATTATTGTTACTGTTACTGTTTTCCTTCAAGGAAATTTAGAAATCTGGGTTGTTGTGATTGATTGATTGATTGACTTTGGGATAGGGTCTTCAGTAGCCTAAGCTGGCCTTAAGCTTTTGATGTAACTGAGGGTGACATTGAACTCCTGATCCCCCTGCCTCCACCTTCACTTGAACTTCAACGGTCAAATCCCCCATTGGGATCCCAGGCTTGGTATGGGCTGCCAAGCCAGGCCAGGGATCGGGGCTTTTGTGAGAAATGTCATGCCACCTAGTGAAATGTTAGCAGTGGCTTGAATATTTATTTTTAAATAATAGGCCCAACAAATGTCCCTGGGAGTTACAACCATGAGCCCCATAAGCCAGCCCGTGTGACCTTCTGTGTGTGGGAGGGGGAGGGGGAGGGGGATCAGTTCACAAAGGGAGGTGGGCAGTACACCATGACCTCTTAGTTCAAATGAAGATAGCATGACTTCAGGTGAGTCCAGAGTCTAAAACCAAACAGACCCTATTGCTGCTATTAAGATCACATGACACTGAGCAAGTCCCGACTTGAAACCGTGGGCTCCTTGGTGGTCTAGTAAATATGGTAATGCCTCTGGGGCCTGTTTTGTTTTCATGATACTGAAATGAGGTTATGAAATGTTTTAACAGAGCACCTGCCTGTAAGTGCTAGTGATGATCGCTTCCTTTTCACCTACAGGATACCTTGGGGAAGCCAGCTGCTAAGGATGTTCATCTGATAGATCACTGCAAGTACAAGTAAGACTTCCAGATACTTATGTCTGTTTTTCTTTCCAAATGCCTCACTTTGGAGACTTTCATCTGAAGTATCTTGTTCATTCATTGAGGTGGTTTTCACTGAGGCCTGCAGTGCCCTGACCTGAGTCCCATGGGGACTATGGAGAAGAGTGAGGCAGGTTCATTACCTCTCTCCACAACACCCCTCCCAGTAGTTAGATCACATATTTGTCACAATAATAAATGTTATAATGAGGAGCTCCAAATACAACTTGGTGTTGGAGCATGTGCTTACTTCCATAATAGAGGCCCCAGGTTCATTCCGATCATTGTAACAAACAGGCAAACATCATAATGAAATTCTGGGACTAAGAATTAGCTAAGCAGGTAAACTGAGGCTTGGAGGAGGGTTGGGATGGGCCTTGGGAGTAAGGACAATGGTCATATCCAGGGGGAGCTCCTCTGTTAGGAACAGACAGCTCCATGTATGAGAAATCCTGAGAAGAAAACAGCCTTTTCTTTTCTTTTTTCTTTTTCTTTCTCTTTTTCTTTTTTCGAGACAGGGTTTCTCTGTGTAGCTTTGCGCCTTTCCTGGATCTCGCTCTGTAGACCTGGCTGGCCTCGAACTCACAAAGATCCGCCTGCCTCTGCCTCCCAAGTGCTGGGATTAAAGGTGTGCGCCACCCCACCCAACCACCCCCACCCCCGCCTTAAAACAGCCTTTTCTTAGAGAGCTTTTTCCAGGGAGCATCTCTTCCAGGATTGATTAGCTTAGACTTGTCTCCCCATACTTTGGAAGAAGAGGGTGATAGATATCCAGGAAGAGGGCCTGTCTGTGACCTGATGGACTGCACGAGGGGAAACAAAAAGATATGGGAGCCTGGCTTACTATATGACTCAGTGTATAGCTGGGATGAACTTGACCCCTGCTCCTCCTGTCTCTACCTCTCAAATGCTGGGATTACAGGCATGTCCCAACATGCCCATTGTAGAGTTTTTACTCTTTTTCAGAATGCATTTTTTTACATTAACTTATTTTGTGTGGGTGCATGTGTGCCATTGCATGCATGTGGAGGTCATACCACTCAATGGGGTCGGTTCTCTCCTTCCACCCTCCAGGCTCTGGAAATTGGACGGAGGACCTCAGGCTTGGTGGTGAGCACCTGCTGAGCCATCTTTACAGCCAAGTCTTGTTGCTTTTTGTTTTTAACGTGTATCATTGAACATATTTTTTCATATAGGTCTGAAATCTATAAAAGCAAAACAACAAAACCAGCCTATTACTTCTTTCTGATCCTGGCTGTTTTCTACCCAGCACACAGCTGCTGGCTCCATATAACTCTGGAGAAATTATTTCTTTGGTTTGCCTGACCTTCCTGGAACAACCTGCAGCTCCAACCCAGGAAAAGCAAGGACTTTGTGGAAACTGCACAGATACATACTGATGTGGTTTTGAACGCTGATAATAGGGCGTAGGGGCTCAATGCCTGAGTCTCAGCACTTGGGGGGATGAGGCAGGAGGATTTCTGTGAGTCTGTGGCCAGCCCAAGGTAAAATGTGAGACCATGTTGTAGTTAGGGTTTCTACCACTGTAATAAAACACCATGACCAAAAACTACTTGGGGAGAAAGGCTTCATTTTGATTTTTAGCCTGTAGTTCATCATCCATGGCATTCAGGGCAGGAACTCAAGGCAGAAACCTGGAGGCCAGGTCCTGAAGCAGAGGCCATGGAGGGGTGCTGCTTATTGGCTTGTTCCCCATGACCTGCTCAGCCTGCTTCCTTATAGAACCCAGGACAACCCCCAGGCAGGTGGGCTTTCCCATGTCAATCATTAATCAAGGAAATGCCCTACAGACTTGCCTATATATATATACAAACTGATAGAGGAATTTTCTCAACTGAGCATCCTTCCCAAATGACCTTAGTTGGTGTCAAGTTGTCAACTAACCAGCATACTCTGTCTTAAAAAAATAAAAAAGGAAAACATTGCAGAAGGGAAAGGGAGAAACATAAAAGCAGAGGCTGGGGTGAGGGGAGGGGAGGGGGGAGGGGGGAGGGGAAAGGTCCCGTTATTGCCAGCAGCTCTAGAAAATGAAGTGTGCTTTCTTCTCTTTCTTAGGTATCTGTTTAATTTTCGAGGTGTAGCTGCAAGTTTCCGGTTCAAACATCTCTTCCTGTGTGGTTCGCTGGTCTTCCATGTTGGTGATGAATGGGTAGAATTCTTCTACCCACAGCTGAAGCCATGGGTTCACTACATCCCAGTCAAAACAGACCTCTCCAACGTCCAGTAAGCACTTACCTTCCAACTGAAGTTTCATATGACCATTTCCTCTTCAGTCCAGCCACTTAAGGCATTTTCTCAGGATGATTTCATTTGCAAGTGAAAGCTTTTTCTCACCTTGAATAGTTGGTCTGTACATGTTGTATACTGTTATGTTACTCAGTGAAGCCCTGGCAAATAGTCTTTCATGATGGGAGGAGATGGAGGTGTGCAGAGAGCTCCCGAAATCCTGTTGAAGAGAGGGAAGAAGGATTGTATGAGTCGGAGGGCGGGGGTGGGGGGGTGGGGTGGGGGGTGGGTGTCAAGGTCGTCACAAGGAAACCCACACAAAAACTTATCTGGACTCATAGGAGCTCACAGGCTCTGGACTGACAGCTAGGGAGCCTGCATGGGACTGACCTAGGCCCTCTACATATGTGTGACAGTTGTGTAGCTTGGTCTACTTGTGGGATTCCCAGCAGTGGGATCAGGTCCTGTCCCTAATGCTTAGGCTGGCTTTGGGGAACCTATTCCTCAAACTAGGAATGCAAAGGGAGGAGCTTAGTCCTACCTCAACTTGATACGCCATGCTCTGTTGACACCCATGGGAGGCCTGTCCCTTTCTGAACAGAAACAGAGGAGGAGTAGATTGGGGTGATGGTGTGTGGAGGGAGACAGAAGGAGAGGAGGGAGGGGAAACTGAAGTTGGGATGTAAAATAAATGAAAAAAATTTAAAACAATATATTGGAAGGAAGGGACGGGGGAAGAGAGAGAGGGAGGGAGAGGGAAAGGGAGAGGGAGAGAGAAGAGATGTGGAGAAGGGCCGAAATGTGAACCCAGTTTCCTCCTCTGGCTAGAACAAGAGTTTGGAGACAAATCAGAAATTTTCCATGTGTGTTGGGGGACACTTGTGAAGGAGCGTATGACGTGCCACTGCGTGTGTGTGTCGTGGTCAGAGGACAACTTGCAGGAGTCTGTTTGCTCTCCACCTCGCCGGTTTCTGTCACTGTGCTGCACGCTCCGTTCCAGGCTTCCTGTGACTTTCCTGTCCCTGCTGAGATGACAGCAGATTGCCACCACATCCAGCCTTTCACAGGGGTTTCCAGGGTAGACTTGGCTTGTCAGGCTGCCACCTGCTGAGCCATTTTTCTGGTCCCAGAAATTATTTTTTATACATGACTTTTTATGATTACATTGTACATTTTTGTGTTTTCCAAAAAGACATCCCAAGTTTATATACTGGAACATAGTATAATAGATGATGGTGACAGGTAACAATCTGACTTTAACTTGCTTTTTTTTTTTTTTTTTTTATGAGATACGGTTTTATGTAACTCGAGCTTTCTTTCTTTCTCTCTCTCTCTTTTTTTTTTTTTTTTTT